TTTAATTAGTACTTCTACCTGTGGGCGTGCTTTTCCAGTCTTAGTCATTGCCGTTGGCAGGTGTGATTCCAAATTCCTTTAAGACTAGAAAGAGCGCCTAAAAAATGTCTGTTGGGACCCTGTTTTTAATGATTCCCTGTAACTGAAAAGTCTGAAGTTTAGACCATCTAGATTAACAGGAATGACCCATTACGAAGTAGTAGTAGTATTTCTCGTTGTGCGACTCGCTGGAGCCGTAGGAAGTTAATCAACTATTGCGCATTTTCGCGCATCCTGTATATATAGAATCTAACGGCTACATAACGAGCCGATATAAATAATTAAGCTATTTTATATTGGTGACGTGAAACCTCATTTTTTGGAGCTACTAGCCACTTTAATTCTCTGTTTATTCTCGATTTATTCACGATCTATTCCCGTTCTATTCTCGATATATTATATTTTCCTTGCATCGGCCGAGAATAGAAATGGAATAAATCGTGAATAAATTGAGAACAACGTAGAAATTGTAGTGATTCTACTGCTCTGAAGGCATAATATTTGCGGAGCAGCCACAGCAAGAAGCAGCAAAGACCTTCACACTGAATTAGCAAGATCACACAAACAGCTACTACTAGTAGTAACGCGTTGCTGTTCTTAATAGCAGTAGGAGTAACAGCAGCACACAATGATCCTCGCTAGCAGCAACAATAGCTGAAAGCTGCCGCTTGTTTGAGCACTCATAATGTTGAAATCATGCCGAGAACAGCGGGATCCCTCAATAGAAACAACAAGAAGCCTCCGGAAGTCGAATACGAACAACAAGAGCTAGTGAGCAAGCTTATTTGCTATAACTTTTACATTCACTTGCAAACTCAAGGAGCTATTGGTTGGAACAGCGATCCAACACAGAAACCAGTGCCAGCATCAGTAGAGCACTATCGCAGCTCACAATACATCCTCACAACTCTAACCGAGAACCAGTTCAAGCACCGAGCAAAGGTAAGTTCTTGTTGTTATTTTCGTCGCTCGTCGTCAGTTCCCCCCCTCACAATCTTGTTGTAGTCTATGTCTTCACTTGCAAAGAAGCTAGCAGCAAAAGGAATCACCCTCGAAGCCCCCCAAATCCCCACCAGCAGCAGTTTTGGAAAGACGAAACAAGAAGACAACGACCAGACAAAGAAGATGCCACCAAAGTCGATTCTCAAAACGCCACCCGTAAAGAAGACCTCTATCAAGGCCCCATCCTCAAGCTCCTCTTCAGTAGCATCCTCGTCAGCTTCTGGTGGAGTAGATAACCTCTTTTCAAAGCTATCACTTGATGATGCCTGTACCTTTCAAACGGCACAAGGCTTTCTTGCATACTCTCATATCTCTGGCCGCTGGATGGATTTTGATTTCGTCACGGAGGACAAGGAAGGATTTGTTTTGCTCAGGGTTCTTCTCCACAGTGGGATTAAGAAAGAAGACTTTGAGTTTGAATGGATCGACGAGCACACCTTCATGGTTAAGCTCAAGTGGCCAACCTTCATGAGGAAGGTGTTGATGATGACAAGCCTTGACATCATTCAAGTCGGAACTGATGCGGATGGAAACGCTATTGTAACTGAACGCTTTCCAAAAGGCCACAAGGTCACTGGCAGTATGGGCGAGAATGCTGCTGGTCTTAAGGATGAAAATGGTGACATCTGGAATGTCGGCAACTTCACTTTTAAGAAGCCGATGATGACTGGCCCAGAAGACTATGAGGTCAAGGTCTTTAATAACATTGTGTGTGACAAAGAAGGAAACAAGGTGACAATCCTCCAAGTCATCTTGAAAGAAAAACCAGAGCCGAAGCAGAAGGCAAAGCAGACTCCTTCAAAGCAGGTGAATATGGTCAATGCTTCATCCCTTCAATTCAGTAAGTTGAAGGCGCCTCCACGACAGTCTGCTCGTCCTGCTGGTGCTCGCCGTCCAGCATCGTTGTCTGATCATGGTCCTGCAAATAAGAAAAGGAGAACAACACCACTCACCCCCACTGATTCGTCGTCTAATGCTGCTGCTTCATCCTTGTCGTCTTGTACGCACCACCACCAGGCTGAGCCTCCATCACCATCCTCTTGACTAGGATACGAGAGCACGAGGAGTGTTGCCTCATCATMGGACTCCACGACCAGTATCGACGTTGATCCAATTAGGACGCTGATGGAAGCAAAGGAATATCTTGATGAGCTTGAAGAATATTTAGATAAAATGAATTAGTCTTAGTAATAGTAATAGTGAATTAGTTGAAAGAATGCTGATTAGAAATAGCTTGCATTGTAGTCAACATCATAAATCGACTCTCCGGCAAGGAATTTGAGCTGAGTAATTATTGCAACAGCATGAAAACACTTCCCATGCTTTGCCATCATCTTATTCCTTGGACTCGTATGTCTAAAATGAGTTGTTAGCACATTAAATTGCTTCAGTCTCCCATTTACATTCTCATGTCTTCCCCGGACAACACTCTTTTCTTTTCGTATCTTTGAAGTCATTCCCATGCGGGGTGTCTTCATCCTTGCGTCCCCTTTGTATCCGCCATCCACTTCTACTCCTTCACCTTCGCAGAGCAAGTGAGTAAGTTTCTGTCGGAACATTGTTCCATCATTAGTGCTTGCAACGTATGGTCCATTCACCCAAACAATGTGTCCAGTTGCAATACACACGCCAACTTCATAGGTCAAGCCCGGTCCATTCAGTTTTTCTGAGTAGTACTTCTTATCGAATGGCCAGGGTTCAAATATTGGGCAATGTGTTCCATCTACTGATATCAAACAAGTTTGACTTGTTTTCTTTCCAAGTCCTTCGAATCTGTTCTCTAAATCAATAACATTCTTTAAGTTATTTATTTTGTCGACAAAGAACCATGCCCATTTTCGAAACGTTTTCTTCGAAGGCCACCCAACGATAGAGGCAAGAACCTCTTCTGAGGAGTAGACCTTGAGGAACACAAGTGCATATAGCAAATGTTTGCAATCAACTTCAGTTCTTTCTTCCTCAGTGAGACCTCCTTCCCATATTCGGTTCCAAATGTCCGCAATCACCTTGCAAGGAGCTCCGAAAAATGCTCTGATTCGCTTCTCCTTGTCAGTTGCATTCCATTTCCGATCTCGTGGCCATTGGATTGTATCCCTGATAACCTCTTCAATAGATTCCTCTGATAGCTTCATTGTAAACAGCAGCTATTACTAATAATGAGCATGTTGCTTGTTTTGCTGCAAGCTCTTGCTTTTTGCTGCTGCTGGAGCCGTTTGCTAAGCTGGTGAAAAAGCTTGTCGTCGAGAACAGATCGAGAATAGATCGAGAATAAATCATGAAATTTATTTCCGTTTTATTTCTGTTCTATTCACGATTTATTCTCGACCTATTCTCAATCTATTCTCGAATTAATTTTGTTAAGTAACTGTTGTGGATATGTCATCATGACATCTGTTAAATATAATTAGCCAATCAAAGTTGGTAATGGCATTTTGGTGCACGTCAGTTATTCGTTGCGCGCATGATGCGCGCAATAGTTCCTCTATTTCCTACGGCTCCAGTAATTGAAACCCTTACTGTTGGTGCTTCCAAAAAACCTTTAACTTACACAGGGTCTACYTGTGAGCCTAAATCACAAGTACATTTTGCAAGTGATGATGGGCGCCACTCTGACTCAATGAAAATCCGTTACGCGGCATTCTCGTCGCGTTCGACAATCTCATCGCGTTCCCCAGTTCTGTTCCGAAGAAATATGRTTTTTCACTACATCTAACATGGTCGCATGCTTTAATGGGATGCCACCTGGTACCTGACCATTCTATTGGGTTCCGTGTTGCAAAACAAAGTTCACTAATAATTTGAAGTTTCAATTGGACGCCATCACTCTACACTACAATATTTCCAAGTTCCATTGACCTGAACCATGCTGTTGACAAATATTCAAWTACTTGTGTTTGCGGCCATTTCATGCGTAGGTTCGGTATTGAGCGAATCGTTCAACTTCGTTCCGACGACCACCACTTGTGGAACGAAAGTTWCCACGCCCGCTCCGTATGAGTTGACTCCCGAACAGCTTGATGACTTTCGTCGGGATGGTGTGCTTGTTGTTCGACAATTCCTTCGYGGAGAAATGTTAGAGGATGCCATCCAGGGCGTCGAAATGATGGAGCGATCTAGGGGAGTGGTCCAAAAGATGTTCTACAAAATTTTTCCCAGCTATCGAAACCTAAGCACACAGAACTATCGAACTGTTGATGCATTCAAAAAGGTTGCGTTTAATTCGGCTGCGCCTACGATTGCTGCTAAACTAATGGGACTCGACAACGACAGCAACAGAACGATTCGATTGCTGAAAGAAGGAATTTTTGGCTTTGGTCGAGGGGATAGGGGGTGCGGCTGGCACGTGGATGACAAGTTTTTCTGGCCCTGCGAGGATAGCCATAGCGATGCCGTGGATGGCGGGAAATCGCAGAAAGATTTCACAGGATTGAGAGATGCGGGGATCAACGTGTGGATCACCCTGTCTCCCGTTACGGCCAGAGAGGGCGGTGGTCTAGCGATAGCCCCTAGATCCCACGATCTCACTGGCCGAGGCAAAATCGGGAAACTCGCCCTACGCGCCCGCAAAGCAATCGCTGCGAAAGGGGCACAAACCACCTGCGCCCTCGAAACGCTCGAACCCGACTGCCATGCCGACTTGGAGGCGATGAAAAAGGTCTACGATCTGGAACCTGGAGATGCAATCTTCCACGACCGATACATTTTTCATAGATCGGACCACTTTAACGACATTGATGGTGACGRCCAACAGGATGCAACCGACCAGAAATTCCGAATTTCCCTGCGGTACATGCCCTCTGATGCGACCTATTTCAATTTAGGTGCGGGCTTGGAGGGAGCTGCAACAGAAAAGCATCTCGAGACGGGAGATCCCATYTCAAAAGCCGGAGAATACTTTCCACAGGTCTGGCCTACTACACTTACAGAAGAGGTCAATGCAGAGGCCAAAGCTGACCAGCAACTGAATGACGTTAAAGGTTTAATCCGGATGGTCACGAGAATCGTTAGCAAGATTGTGTATGGCTAGAAATAGGAATCGGCTTACTAGAACAATTTTGAAAAACGGATGTTTTACCCTTTTTGTGGCGCGTTGGTATCGGAGGAGGTCATCCTTCTAGCCTGGATGTAGATTGAATTGCCAGGTTGTAAGCCTTTTACAACTTGCTTCTATCATWGGGATTGTCTGCTTTTAGCACCATCTCCTTCATGTCCACCAGAGATTCCTCCAGGTARTGAGACAGAGCAGGGGCCAAACCCTTGTAAGATGTGCAGGTGAAAAAAATCCGATTGGATTCGATGTGGTAGGCAACCCCGAACCCGTCTGGAACCACTACCGGCCCAAATCCGGGGTTGACCGGCAGCGTCGATGTAGAKACCTTCCACGTCTTGCTTTCCACGAAGAGTGGGTCCTCGAACAGGTCAACCGCTTGCTTGTTTTGTTTCTCTTGTTCGGCCAGGAGCATTTGYAGTCCAAACAAGTGCCGGTCAACACCGCCTCCCTGMGATGCATTTCGAATGTAGCTCACGTGGGCTTGAGTTGCTTCGTGGAACATGCCTTTCAGTTCTTCTGCGTTGCTGTTGTTCCCCAGCATGGACCCCACCCATTTTGCACTCTCCTCGGARACGCTTCTTGTCGTTTCCGTGCGTCCATATCGATAGGATCGGACCTGTGTCGACTCATACGTCGCCCAAGGCACATAGCGCGAGCCGTCRTTTCCGTTGAAGGCTTTGCTGGTTGTAAGTTTTCCGATGGCCAATTGGATCGCCATTTGCACGTACGCATCTGGAGAACACTTTGCATTGGTCTTGATCCAGGTTGAACCATACCCCTGAAAGGATTGAACCTCGAGGTCGAGCGAGCTTCGAAWCTTGTCGAAATCGGCGGTTGCCTTCTGGACCATCGATTTTGTTTCGTCGAGGCTCGCATTCGTCAGTTCTTTGAGAATGGTTTGGTTGGCAAAGATGGGTGCCACCTTTGGAGAAARGAGCGGGGTTGGGTSCTTTTGTTTCGGTTCGGTCTCCCGTTTGTTTGGACTCGCTTCTTGCMCGAGAATGTACTGGCACAGTCCCACCGACGGCATTCCATCCATCATACTGTGTTCACCGTTCAGGCCGAGATTCCCCGAGGGCGTCACAATGAACTGAATCGATTTGTCGTACCACCGGCCCTGGGTTCCCATCAGATACGATCGAGCGTTTTGACTGAGGGAGTCGACCTGTGCATTCCTGCCGTTGTCSTCACCGTCGATACACAGCAACAAGAGGCCGCTTTCCAGCTTTTCCAGGGCAGCCTTCATGCCCGGAATGGCTTCGATCAGCCTGGCTCGGTTGGAAGTCCACTCGTCTCGATTGGAGGCGGTGAGAATTCCGAGGTTTTTCACTGCCGCGGTTGCTGCTGCTGTTGCTCCTTCATCGCCRCCATCACTGGTTTGGCGAGAGAKCAAGATAGCYTGRCTCACGCAATCCTCCAGAGCCAGTTCCAATTCGCCKACGGCATAGGGCATGCCGGTGGACGGGTCGATGAGGTCGACCGAAAAATAGTGGCCCTTCACGGAGACAACGGCGTGTTTTTGGAAATCGYTTGTTTCCTCGTCGCTATTATTGCTGCTGTTTTTGCAGTGGTCACGGGATCGATAGACCCGATAAACGTCTTGGTTTGGTTTCGGAATCCGACAGGAATAAAACATATACCTGTACATGCTCGAACAAAGCGGGGTGGTTGATTTCTTCCCGATAACGTCCTGTGGCAACGATCCACTCTGGACGAGTTCGGAATACGCAAAGGCCGAATGCAGGACCCGTGCCGCCCGCTGCAGCTGGCTGTAGTSTTTYCCCCTGGTTTTGGGCAGCTGAAACAAATAATTGACGTTGATKGGGCTCGGTTCCCGGTATTGCAGGTAGCCGATTCGGTTCCACCACGACTGGAGCCAGTTCTCCTGGTGGCTTGCGCGGTCCTCCAGCTGGCGCTGTAGGTGGCTTGCCTGCTCCGGGAATCGGTCGCACGCCCGAAGAAAGTTCTCCCGCTCCTCCGCCCGGCGATCCGTTGCTGCCAGCGGCAGGCACGTGGGCTTGAGCCGTTCGATGGTGTCGGCCAGGTCTGGGACCGGAAACCGGGGCAGAGAATCCTGGTGTTGGAACAGCGGTGGCGGTGCGGTCGCCAAACCTTCGCTGCTGCTGTAGATGCTKCTGGAAGTCATGAAATATCCAGATTCGGCGTCGGCTTGATAGTCCCCGTGGCTATCGTAATACCTTGCCGAGGAAGAAGACGCCGACGACACCATYCTTCTACCCCTGTTGTAATTGTAAAATGTGTATTGCTGCTCTCGATGACACGGCCTCCCCACATTCGCGGTCACAACCAGCTTCCTTCGAATCCGATCAATGTAGCTTCTGATTGGACTGCAACGAGTGTGGCCAACCAACGTTGCCACCATGGTCCTTCGTGCGATGGTTGCGAAAACAAAAAGAGCAATTTGTGTTGAACGTCGAYAGTTTTCGTTGGGAGGGTATCCCAAAAACCAGAAGGGGGGCTATGAGGATTTTTATATAAGATTTGTTTCCTCTTTCSTAACAAAATTTACTGACATTAAAAAATTCAAAAATTCATAAATAATCATGAACTCTTCACTTTCCAGTTGGAATCACGAGTATAGTATCGTAGCTCACGACGACCATGGTATCCGTCTTCGTCTCGATCCACGACAATTCACCTGTCCCTTGAATCATTGAAGAAGCAATTTTGACCTCAATCGAAGGACGACAATGGCGACTGTTGGATCGCCCTATCTTCGTATTCTTCGACACGGAATCCGAACAGCCTCAGCAACATCGGCAAGGACCGGCTTTGGAAGAGCGGGAACACAAACGACTAGAGCATCCACACCGATCAAAGCAAGCATGAGCACGAGCACGAGCACGAGCACCATCGCCCCGTGGCCGACCAAAATGGTCGAGTCCCACGGAGATTACCGCGACGAAGCCTGGCTGGAGGAACTCGCCCACAACAAGGACACCACCTACAAAAACCAGTCCTCACTTCCCCAGCTGCCGGTCCCGGCGATCGAAGATACCCTCTCGCGGTTTTTGCCGACGGCGTTGCCCCTGGCGGAATCCGAGGAGGAGAAGCGAGCCCTCGAGAACGCCGTCCAGAAATTCCCGGCCCAGGCACAGAAACTYCAGGAGCGGCTCCTAGAAAGAGCGGCCTCGGTCCAGAAGAACTCTTCCTGGCTGCAGCACTGGTGGAACACCCTGGGATATCTCCAGGTTCGCGACAGCGTGTGCATCAACGTCAGTTATTACTTCCAGTTTGCCGACGACCGAACGCTKGCTGGCAAAGGGAGCAAGGGMAACTCGCTCCAGGTCCAGCGGGCCGCTTCCATTCTCTACGCCACTGGTCAGTACCGGAACAYCGTGGCTTCCGGCCGGCTGGCACCCGAAACCCTGGGGCGMAAAAATATTCCCTTGTGCATGACGGCCTACAAATACATGTTCCACGCCTGTCGGATTCCGCTGCCCCAACAGGACTCCTACCGCATCTACGATCCCCACCACTACAAGCACGCCGTCGTGGCCCGCAAGGGGCGTTTCTACAAAATTCCGCTGATCGATGAGTCGACAAACGAGGTCCTTTCGGTAGAGTCGCTGGAGGGCCACCTTTCGCAGATTCTGGAACTGGCGGACGAGGAAGACTCGAAAACAGAAGCACCCGGCCTGGGATACCTGACGGGAGAYCACCGGGACGCGTGGGCGACCGCGCGCGCGGCCTTGCTGGAACTCCCCGGAATGGCCGAGGCGATGGAAGTCTTGGAGAGCGGCTGTGTCTTGGTAAACCTGGACGACGCCTCCCCTAGCAGCCGGGCCCAGTGTGGCAAACAGCTGCTGTGCGGAAACGGGGACGCCTCCAACCGCTGGTTCGACAAGTCGGTGCARCTCATGGTCTGTCCGAACGGCAAGGCGGGATTGCTCGGCGAACACAGCATGATGGATGGCATGCCGGTGGTAGGGCTCGCCAACCACATCGTGAGCACGACCTACCAGCAGGCCCGAGACGAAAGCACCACTGGGAATTCTGGTTTGGAAACCTTCGGCGGTGTTGCGGACATTTTTGGATCCATCGAGATGACCCCGAAGGTCCTGGAGATGATCGAGACCTCGAAAGGAAACTTTCGGGAATGGACCACCGGCAAGCACGACCTAGAGGTACAGAGCTTTTGGGGATACGGGTCCGGCTTTATGAAGAAATCCGGCTTTTCTCCCGATGCCTACGTCCAGATGGCCATGCAGGTGGCTACCGCTCGGCTCTTTGGAAAGCAGGTAGGAACCTACGAGGCCTCCCAAACGCGTGTMTTCCGGCACGGGCGGACCGAAACGACCAGGACCGTCAGTCCGGCGAGCGCGGCCTTTGTCCAGAGCCTGCTGGGCCGGAACGGCGGCGGCCAACCGCTCTCGGCGACCGACAAGATCGCGCTGCTGAACAAGGCCTGCAAATCACACGCCCRGTACATYGGCAACGCCGCCAAGGGGCTGGGCGTCGACCGCCACTTTTTGGGGTTGAGCATGCTGGTACGAGACGGCGAGGCAGCGCCCGATCTGTACTCGGATCCGGTGTTTGTCCGGTCCAAGAAATGGAGGGTTTCCACCTCCAATCTGACACACCCCAAGCTGGACAACTGGGGATACGGAGAGGTCGTTCCMGACGGGGTGGGTCTCAGCTATTCCGTCCACAAGGACCGCGTGATTTTYGGAATCACGGCGCTGAAAGAACACGGCGGATGGCCGGAACGGCTGAGTCAATACCTCGAGGACGCCCTCGTCGAAATGAGGCTGCTGGTAGAAGAGGCGGCGGCGAGCGATGCGGCACCGCCCACGAGGAGCAAGATGTAAGGCTCTCTAGAAAGAAAAATCGTGCTTTCGGTAACGGAAGGCATCCCGTCGATGACAACAATATACCAGTATACAATTATCACCAGAATACCCAAATGAGAATAGGTTGCGATGCCTTTCTTATCGTACAAATTGTCTTTTACTATTATTGTGGGTGCGGTTGTTGATTCGCCTGTTTTTATCCTTTGTCCCTGGTCTACCGGTAATAGAATYGAAATGATTTGCTCCGTTCTTTCGGTCGATCGGGTTCTCTAGAGTTCTTCTCCACCGGGGCTACCCTTGGGTCCTCCGAATTCTTCCCACGAGATGAAACCATCSCCATCCTTGTCCTCGYTCTCCCACAATCCATCGGGGGTGCCTACTCCCTGCTTTTCCATGAAAAAGGCCTCGACTTCTTCCTTCGTCAATTTCTGGTCGCCGTCGGTGTCGATTTCATCGAACAAGTTGGGCTCCGGTGGGGGCGTGGTCGAAATGTCCACCACCTCGACATCAAAGGAAAGGGTAGCGCCGCCGGGAATGTCCCTGCCGGCACCATGCTCGCCGTAACCCATCTCGGGYGGGATCGTGAGGTGGGCCTTGGAGCCCTTGCAGAGACCGACGATTCCCATGTCCCATCCTATTTGTTGTCGAAGGCATCATAGCATTCACGTCGTGTCCGTGCATCCAACCAGAACAAAATGAGTGAGTCTGTCCTGATGCGTGACAAAGTTTCAATCGATTTCCGTTTCGGTTTTGGCTTGGATTCGCCTCGGTGACGACAAAACCAAAACAAAACAAATATATATTGCTTATTGAGAACAATGGCAAGGTCGATACCTACCTTGGATGACTTGACCGAYACCAATCTGGAAATCAAAAGTACTGCCTCTATCCCTGGAAGAGTCGAATACTTTTCCCTTCTCGCCGGTGGCACTGTCTTCATGGATTTTYCCCGTGTAGTGCATTTTCAGGAAGTTTCCAGCCATGACCTTGTCCTCGTCACTGCAATCCCTGGTTCCCTCGTAAAGGTCGACATGCATTCGTCCAGCTGTTTGTTGAGTTTCCTCACCTTCGCCCGCGGCGAAGGCGGAAAGCATCAAGAGGGCTGCGGCTGTAAATTTCATTTTATTGTTTGTGTTTTCAATTTGTCTCTTACAATGATACAAATTTACTTTCTCAGAATAAAATTGTCGGTTTGCACACGGTTCCGAAATGACTCTGGCGCGTCAAACCGGAGCAAAAGCGGTATCCTTTGAACCGCAGTAAAGTAGCGACKTACAGAAATTGGAATCGGAGTTTGGAAAAAAATAGTAGTAGATAACACCGTACGGTACAGCAAAATACGAACCTTGCAAGATTCCATTCTYCACAAATAGAAAAGCTTCTTCGCAAGATCTTGTCTCGCTTTCGTGCCGATAGCCCAGGCAGGGTCTAAATTACGACTCCGTAGCCCAGCAATGTTGATTGCCACACGTCATTGTTCGAAACTTGTCCTGAAAACGACGCGCGGCCAGGCGGCCTGATGTTCCTAGGCTAATTCACGACTCATCGGACCAAGGCGAATGAAGAAAATACAAAATGCAAAATGAACTACGATACTACCGTACGAGTACAGTTCCCTGTACTTTAATGAATAATCCTAACTTAATTAGGGGGTGGGGGCGCGAAATTGCAAACCAGTTGAAACAACCCGAAACCGTTTTTGGTGATGTAATACTGGTACGTAGAAATTAATCATTCGAACCAATCGAAACGTGACAGCGCCACCAGACGTGTCAACTGAGTCAGAATTGTTATCGACTTCCCAATATGCCTTTCCCCCCTACCAAGAAACAAAATCATGACTTGGTTCATCGATATTCAGGTCGCTGCGTGCTTCATGCATGTCGTAGCAAAGAAGACAACGATTCTTCCGCCGTGGTGTCGTCTAGCACGGCAGAATTTCACTCAGCTCGTTTCTTCTACGGTTTGCTGGTCGTCGAATGACGCTTGCATCGTTCGTTGCGAACGAACAAATAAGGTTTTAGAACAGAACAGCAAGRAAAAACTCGCTGCGGCAACTTTCGTTTTCTCAACTGGCTCTCCATCATCAAGGCTTACAACTCTACCAAGTTCCTAACCAAAACCTCTTCATTTAATAAAATTATCAACATGACYATAATACCAAAGGTGTCTGCCCTCCTCCTTCTCTCGGCATCCGTCGATGGATTTTCGCCGTCGGGCAAGGCTCCTCTTTCGCCCCCTTCGTCGTCGGTGTCTGCCTCGACGGTCGTCGACGAGTCCGAGGCGCTCTCAAAGTCGTGGGACGATGACGGTTTCGTGTTCGGATTGGAAGGCTCGGGACTCGAACGACCCAAGGGAAAGGTCGCTCAAATCGTCGTAGAAGGGGACTCGCTGGAGACGACMGATGCCCAGCGGGCAGTTGTTTGGTCGACCCTCCTTGGGCACGCCGGAATTTGCTCCTATAGCATCTCGCAGATGATCCAATCCAACCAACAAGCCCTGGACGCAGTSGCCGGAAACGAGGCACTGACCACGGGCCTCACCGCCRTGCAGGCAGCACTAGTGGTACTGTCTTCCTGGGTACTTGCGGATTTTGGGTCGGGGGTTCTACACTGGAGCGTCGACAACTACGGAAACGGAAAGACTCCGGTGATGGGTGGAATTATTGCGGCCTTTCAGGGTCACCACTCTGCCCCGTGGACCATTTGCGAGCGAGAGTTCGAAAACAACGTCTACAAGCTCTGCGTCCCTTTCGGAATCCAGACCGTGCTGGCAATGAAATTCGTTTTCGGCTTGGGTCCGGCGTCCGTGTTGTTTTGGTCCACCTTTTCCGCCATGGAAATCATGTCTCAGGAGTTCCACAAGATGAGCCACGCCACCAAATCCGAGGCGGGGCCCGTTTGGAACTTTTTGCAGGACGCGGGCTTGGTGATCGATCGCAAGTCGCACGCTCAGCACCACATCGCGCCCTACGACGGAAACTATTGCATCGTGAGCGGCGGGTGCAACAAGGCGCTCGACGAGTCGGGGTTCTTCCGGCGGCTGGAGCACATTGTTTATAACCTCAACGGCGTCGAGTCCAATGCCTGGAAACTGGATGCAGACTTAAGGGAACGAACTCTGAATGGAGACTATGCACTACCAAGGAAAGGGACGAAATGAAAAAGTAACACAAGAAGCTAATAAATTGTTA